CACAGATAACAGAAGGCAGTATCTATCACCTCAATTATTCGGAGTTGTCTCAATTACAGATGTATCTGGTCACACAGGTACTATCTGAAGGTGACAAAGCGCGAGGTCTCGTAGACATCATCCCCATCATTGTGTCGTCTGTACACAACGTTCAGCGACGGCTTGCCACCATAGCCAGTCTCGGGGTATCATTCGATCAGATGCTTCACCATACCATGACTCTAATCGAGATTTGTCTCAAGGCTGCCTGCCCCCGTGTATTCCTCTTGTGAGCTATCTTGGTTTTCTGTGATTCCTGGGTTAGTTACTCATTCCGGGGCTACAGCGCGAATTTATGATTTGCGCTCTCGAGACCGGATGGTGCTTACACCACCCCTCTTGCACGGTTTCTGCCCTGCTACTCCACGGCAACATTCGGGTTCGTACTGGCAGATGGCGAGACAAACGGTTTGGCGAGTGGTCAGGCAGGCGGCTGCAAGAGCGTGTCCAGTGGAGGCCCAACAGATCAGCCATGCTACCCTGCGACCCCTCCCGTCCGGAAAGCTCTTTCGGCCTCTAGTCGTGCCTCCAAGAAGTTGGCTCGTCTGTTCCCCCAAATTCCAGAAGATTATCACTGGACACTTGAGGAGTGGCTAGACTTACATGAAAAGCACAGACAGTCTCTGGCGCAACTTGAGTCTGACGCAGACGGCAGCCTGCACAGCTTTGCATCCGACGCTGTGTCCACCTCAGAAACCTACACCCCAAAGTTTGAGAAGGCCCCAGAGACGGAGCTTTTGGCTTGGCGCGGGGAAAACAAGGTTTGTATCCTTGTAGTGGCGCCACAGGCCGCGATTTCTCAGGCATTGGCAAGTGCCTTGTATCATCGACATGCTGTGGGGCTCGTGACGCCCGTCTTGGGCCTGGTCGTCGAGCCACACAGTTCGATGATCCGACTTGCGGTGGCATGGCTTGAAGACAAGCCTGAAGTCACCCTTCCCGGCCATCTGGTAAGTTATCAGTGACCTGACTTGACAGAATCCGGTGCTGAGCTGCCATGCAGCCTTCCGTTCACATTGCGTTGGCGGCGCAGGATGATTCACATAGGCCATCATCGTTCGGACAGTTCAACCTCGCGGAACTTCACTCCGCACTCCTTTTTGCTCTGTGCATATTGGCGCAGAAGGCGAAATTCGATGTAGATAGCGAATTGCCATGTTTTAACCATGGGTCGGCTGTTCCTGACAGGCTCGCGTGGCGAACGGATACTCTGCGCCTTGTTGAAGAGGAGCCAGCTCCCGACCTCAACGACTTTATTTCCTCCTGGGCGAGTAGCGTGAACGACATGGAACTTAGAGGAGATCAGCTGAGGGATCAGTATCAAGGGCGGCCGTGGCATGTTCATCTCACCAAAATGCAGCTCCTTGCTTTGCTCAACAATAATACCTCATAGGGTGCCTGCTGCGTCTCTGTCGCAGAAGCGTTATGGCAGTGAATATCCGCAGTCTACTACGTCTCTCCAAAGACAGTCGCGTGAGGAATCATTTTTATGTTCCGAGTGAGTCTCTCTTCCCTTATATTCACGCGTATATTCACTGTGCGGTCTCAGGATGGCTTCTAAGGTTGGTGACAAAGATACGCCAGAGCCAACTTGGTTATGGCTTCAAGAGCGACATTGTGTTACTGTGACGCTTCCTTCTCTTTGCATGTACGAGAAGTTGGAAAAGCGGCCCGACCTGGACATGTTGAGCCCGCAGTGGAAGTTGATGCTGCCACACGTCCAGTGCTACTATAATTATCTGTCGCTGAAGACCACTGATTTCGTTCTAGTAAGTACGTTTATTTTGTTGCCCAAGTCAACGTTGTTTCTCAAGATGTCGAGCAGTGCCAGAAGTCAAAGACGAAGCTTTGCAAGGGCTACGAAAAGAGCTGATATCGTCTCTGCGCTCCATAGGGATCTCCGATAATGGTCCACCGAGCATTGCTCAGAAGCCGCTGTCCATTTTCCTTCACAAACACTGCTATAGTATTCTGTGCGCGGTATCTGATGCACAGCTGGTGAAACGGCGCTCTAGAACGTATCCCATCTCGGAGATTGAGTTCAGACAATGTTGGGATAGTTTGTTGCGTATTTGCTTGAACTACGACGAGGGTTCAGTAATGGCCTTGTATGTCTCTCCTGTCTTGTAGTTCAGTCCTCTGTATCTGTTCTAATCTGCCATCGGGTAGGTACGAGCAGACCATCGAGCTTCCTCGAAATGAAGTACTCGACTTCATGTTTGTCGAACCCTTCGGTACCCCAGCAGCCATGGCGAACTCTGGGGATACGGCACCGGCCGTCAGCTCATTGACGAAGTG